AGTATTTTGAGATTTGGAGAAGAATGTGTGGGATTTAACTAATATTGGGGGGGGGGAGGGGGGTGTGAGTAGGATTCTGTGTAGGGGGTTGGGTTTAAGGAGAGAATTTGAGTTTTGTGATAGGAAATATAATTTATGGAGATGAAGTTGAGTTTAGGAAGATGAAGTTGATTTTACGAAGTGGAAATTGATTTTATAGAGATAAAGTTGAGTTTATACAGGGAGGTCACCTCAATTACTCAATTAAAAATCCTATCTGAGCCAAAAGAAGCGAGACAATTGTATCAGTTGCTGTAAATAGTTTTGAAACGATCTTACTTATTGTAAATTTCGCAGACCCCTTGTGTTCGCATCTATCGAAGTGTTTAGAGAAGGGACACTACTTATCCTGCCTAATATTACGCATCACGCAATCACAGTAGACTTCTCCTTTCTTTTCTTTTTTTTTTCTTTTTGCCTGTATCTAATCTCTCGCCTACTTACTCTCTGTCACAATTCTTTTGCCTGTATCTAATCTCTCACCTACTTACTCTCTGTCACAATTCTTTTGACTGTATCTAATCTCTCACCTACTTACTCTCTGTCACAATTCTTTTGACTGTATCTAATCTCTCACCTACTTACTCTCTGTCACAATTCTTTTGCCTGTATCTAATCTCTCACCTACTTACTCTCTGTCACAATTCTTTTGCCTGTATCTAATCTCTCACCTACTTACTCTCTGTCACAATTCTTTTGACTGTATCTAATCTCTCACCTACTTACTCTCTGTCACAATTCTTTTGCCTGTATCTAATCTCTCACCTACTTACTCTCTGTCACAATTCTTTTGCCTGTATCTAATCTTTCACCTACTTACTCTCTGTCACAATTCTTTTGCCTGTATCTAATCTCTCACCTACTTACTCTCTGTCACAATTCTTTTGACTGTATCTAATCTCTCACCTACTTACTCTCTGTCACAATTCTTTTGCCTGTATCTAATCTCTCACCTACTTACTCTCTGTCACAATTCTTTTGCCTGTATCTAATCTCTCACCTACTTACTCTCTGTCACAATTCTTTTGCCTGTATCTAATCTGTCACCTACTTACTCTCTGTCACAATTCTTTTGACTGTATCTAATCTGTCACCTACTTACTCTCTGTCACAATTCTTTTACTGCCCCCTCAGATACTGCTTTTCCGCTATGCGCTATTTTTATTTAATTTATTTTTCTGTTGCTTGTTCGCTAACGAAGGCTTCCTGCCGACACGTTCGTTGTTTTGTTGCACTCCTTTTTTCTCAAGATTTTACCCTACTTTATTTTACTTATTTCTCTTTTTGCTAACCTGTTTTTAGTCTCACCCCTTTATTACCATACTCATATCGGGAATGGAACATTTCGTCGGAGACATTTTGTCACAGATTTATGTCACCGACCGACATTTTGTCACCAACATTTTTGTCACCAAACATTTTACCAAATTGAAATTAGCGGACATTATTAATATTTAAAGTATTTTGATTACAAAAGCGGTCATACCAGTTTAGAGATAATAAGAATGATGTTTAGTTGTAATGGCGAAAAACACATTAGTATACAGATATAACGTAAATTTGGATTATAACGTCTTTGTTTAATTCCTATCTATTTTTTAAAAAGAACTTAAAGACAAATAGTTTAAAATATATATTCTCGTAGAAAACAAAATAACCAATCCATTTAAACTCATTTTATTTTTTTTTTTTTGAAAATGACATGTTTTTCAACTTTAAAAATATTTTTTTTTAAAACTATTCACAAGGACTATTGTAAACCCTATTATAACGGGCCCCAGCTACATGGCACCCCATTATAAAGCATCCTGCTATAACACGTTTTGATTTTATGGACCCAATTATAACGTTATGGTCGATTTTTATTACAAACGAGAATTAATGACCTGAAGTTATCGGGATAATAACGGTAGTTCCTTTGCGATAATTTCTACCTGCTATTGCAAAAACTCATCAAAATTCCTAACTTTAAAAAGAAGAATCTATGTAATAATATTTACGGTTCAAACATCATTAAGTTTTGAGAAATATTTATCTGCTATATATCATACGTCTTCCCTACTCCATTTCACGGCCCTAAATTACTTTTTTCCATCTAAATATGACCTTAAATTACCAAGTTTAAATTATCACTAATTATATCAGTTTTGTGACGAAAGAAGTGAATTGTGGGACGATTTGCACGATAGAGAAATAAATTTAGATTTACCACCCTTTCGTGTCCTTGATTTGCAATTTTTCTCTCTAAAAATTGGAGAACAAAACATAATAATAAGACATAAATCTATTTATTACTCAAGGAATTGGATCTCTTGAGATCTTCTTCAAAAATGTAAACACACTTTGGCCTTTTTTTTAAAATTATACATTATCAGAAAATCATAAGACAAAGAATATTTGTACTTTGATCGAAAGAAGGTTCTCGCGACCATTGGTCACACCTATGACATACTTGAGTGTCATTTAAAAAAAATAATACATTGTTAATCTCATAAAAATAAACACCTGGTTACTGTTTGCAAAGTAAAAACAATGTAAATATTAACCCATCTCTATTTTTCAAAATTAATTTTTCATGTGAGTAAAATGATTGGGTTTTGATAATCACGGGTAGCCAATACTTATATAAATGTACCCACGAGTTGTTAACGTCTCTAAAAATGTTCTTACTTGGTTAACATATGATTATTTGTAAAAAGAGAATGTAACATCTCTTTTTTCAAAAATGTAAACCATAGGATTTAAATATATATTTTCATCCACGTAAAAATGTACACATCCTATTTCCTAGATCCGATATGAATGTACCCAAGAAGGTAAGTTATTTATCAAATCCATTCCTTTATTTTAAGACGTATCTTGTGCTGCCTGGGACAAATTAAAAAGAAACGTACGAACTTTGGTTAACATTGGCGATTCACGCTAAGACGTCATTTGTGTGTTTATTAAGACGAAATTAATTTTAATTTTATTTCGCAATATTAACAAGGCTCTAAAAACGCGCTTAAAAAAAACACCTAATGTTTGAGTTTTCCCGATAAATGTGATTACGACGTAGTTTTTAGATCATAATATTGTTATGATTGATTTTTTTTTCATAACCTTTAAATTCGGATAAACTGCTTTAAATACTTCTTTAGCTGTTACTTTAAATGTATTTGTAATTTATAATGTAATACTTAAACTTTTACTTAAATAAAAGCGGATTTAAAATATTTGCGCTTTTAAATGTATTCCATTTCCTTAAAATAATAAATAACTATACTATGATTGTTTTTAGGAATCCGAAAGTGCTTAAATCGTATATGCTCTTGGACGTTACGTCACTATAGCTCATTCTTATATAATATATAACTTTTTAACTAATTATTAACTTTCCCAATGTCAGACACATTTACTAGTACACAATAACAAATAATTTGCTGCGTGAAATTTCTTAAACCAAGTTTAAAGGGAAAATCCGAAAAATAGTTTGGGATTTTCCCAAAGGAATATTTACGTTTCCATTTACGTGTCAAGAAATGTGTAAGTTGTATTTTTTGTCTTGTCTTTTCATTTAATCTTGACAGTTATAATATTACAAGCAAACAAGGGGTATTTGCTATAATTTTAATATATAAAGATGGGTGCAGACAACCCAAGACAGAGCTAGGTGGAGAGCTGCTGTCAAAAAAGGGAGCTTAATCTAATGAATCCAGTAGGATAACCACAGCTGAGACACACAGGTTTGCCCGAAAGAGCAATCGGACATTAGGTCACCGACTGCATCAACTATGACCTTCCCGCAGTTCCAGAAATAATCCCGATCATGGATCTGTCTAGCAAGTCACCCACGAGCTCACCATAACCCCACCCTACCCTTTACCGCATGACTCGATGTCCTAGTCGATTGTGACGGAGGAACTACAACAAATAAATAAAACTTTAAATTGTACAACAAAATAGCATTGTTTAAAGAGGAGTTAATCTGACTACCCATTACCTTTCATTAAGAAAAGCTCTAGTCTATAGTGATAGCCCATTACCTTTTGGAAATTACCTTATAATTCTTATTTTATTAAAAACTTCTGAGCAGGGGCGTGGTAAAAACAGCGGAGGAGTAGTAGGCCAACCCGGCTGGCTCCTTTTCTTTTCCAAATGCTGAGCTTTCTCTTTGCAAATATTAGGCAAAAAAATTGCGGCACTAACTTAGCAATGAAACCTATTTTAAGATCTAATATTATTTTTTTTTGTGTAGGTTTTCCCAAAGCATCCTTCGTTAATTATGATAAGTGTAATGTGAAGAAAATAATATTTTATGAAATTTTAGTATAGGCCTTTGTGCAGATCTATTAAAAAAACAAAAAACACAAAAAAAAAAAAGAAAGAGAAGAAAAATGAAAATGACACCAATAGACTTAATCTCATTATTATTCAGTAGCTACAATTTGTAACAAAAAATAAATAATAATAAGAGTGGAGAGATCATTATACTAAAAAAATAGAAACACTTAAAATTTAGATAAATCAATAAATCGAAAAATTTACCATTTGTGAAATATTCTGTTAACGGTAGTTGTCCTAGGATCAATGAGAAACACACATTTCGTTTTATGTACAAAAAATTGTTTGTTTCTCATTAATCTTCTTTAAAGCCTTATCCCAGTCCAATCCTTTCTAATTTGCTACATCAGTTAAGTACAGCTTTTCATAAAGTCAAATTTATTTCCAATGAAAAATAAACGAAAAATTTATGTTAAAATAAAACTTTCCGTCCAGCATGTAATGTGCCGCAGCTCTACAGGGTGACGCGGAGCACTGTTTAGGAACCCCTGGAATAATGAATAATTAGAATGGACGTGATCATTAATCAAACTATATCGGACTTTGCTCCTCTTTTGTGGTAGATTTTTAATTGAAGACACGTATTTCCTTCTGTGTTCCTCAGCTTAAAGTATAATCAAAAAGATAGAAACACCAGCATGTTGACAAAACCAGAAATAGCCTGTGCCATCATTGAAGGAATATCATCCATGAGAGAAGATGAAGAACTCCAGGATTTCGTTGTTGAAGTTGAAGGCAAAGAATTTAAATGTCATCGCCTGATACTCAGCGCGTGTTCTGGATTTTTCCGTGGTCTTCTCAGGTCTGGGATGAATGAGTCGCAGAAACAAAGAATAAAACTTGAAGGCGTGTCAGTAGAAACGTTCGCTGCCATCTTAGAAACTCTCTACACCGGAAGGGACAATCTGACACGTGAAAACATGCTAAATATTTTGTTAGCTGCAGATCGATTTGAAATAACAGCTGTCTTTGATAATTGTATAAATTTCATAAGAACAAACATTTGCAATGAAAAGGTCGTTTCTTATTGGATAGTAGCTTCTCAACTTATGCACAAAAATGTCATAGCACTTTGCGAATTGTTTCTCAGAAACAATACATCCCTCGAAAACTGGGAAATTATGTATTCCACGGCACATAACTTGGGATCATCCTCGATTTTGTTACATATTCGAGATTTTATCAAGAAAAATTATGAACACGTTATGAAATCCAATGCTTTTCTACTTCTTCGAGAAAACGATTTGCTTAAAATTATAAAAAGTCAAGAACTGTTGGTATCTTCTGAAGATGTTGTCATTGAGTCTATTCTAAATTGGGTCAAAAATGGTAATCAAATTAGATCTAAGAAGACGGCTGGAGATTTAAATGAGGATGTAATCAGTGTTTCAGAAGAAGATGAAGAAGATGGAGGGATAGAAGACAGTATAGGAAAATTACAGGAGCAAAATAAAATTGTTGAACACAAAGGGGAAAACGCAGCAATAAAATTAGCAAATATTAACCAAAATTACATAAAAAGTCTTGAACGTCTTCTTTCAGAAACAAGACTGTGTCTTGTTAGCGCTATAACTCTAGAAAAATTATCACGTGATAATTTATTAATGGACAACAAAAGAATCCGGGCAATGGTGATGGATGCCGCTTTATATAAGTCTATTGGACGTCAACATGGTCAGAGTCTAAAGGCTGCCGTTCATAGAAGTTGTAGTGGATTAATGAATTTTGGAGTCGTAGGTGGGCAATATGGATATTTTCTTACTTTTTCATTTCAACCTCATTTTCAATGGCTACACCTTCCAAATTGTACATTTCTTGTGAATTGCACCGGTGCAAAATTAATTGCCTACCAGACATATTTTATTGCTGTCGGTGATTTAGCAGAAAGTAGCAGCGTGTGTGTATTTGTACAAAATGATTGGCGTGAACTCATGAAACTACCAGGTCACGGATGGTTGGGTGTGGCTCTTGAAGAATTCATCTATTTAATGAATTCTTCTAATCAACAAGTTAAAAAATTTGATCCAAGACTTGGGAATTGTTTACTTGAAGATTTGATTAGTTTTCCTACAAAGGATAAATTAGAACATGTCTGTTCATTTGATTGTTTCATACTTGCATTCTGCTCAGAGGTAATTGACGAGACAGGTGTACATTGTCTTGACACAAGGTCTCAGACATGGACAAGACTCGACAGCCTGGAAGGATCAGCCGAAAACATGCATAGTTTTAGAAAAGAGAAACAATTATATTTTCTACAAGCTAACGGCAACCTCTGGGAAGTTAGCAGTGACGAGACAAATGGCGTACATTTAATGTTGGTTGAGGTTCTTTGGCAGGGCACATCCAATATGTATGGCGTCATCTATCTTAACGAGCGCCTGTGTTTTAGTTTTAGTAAAGAATCAGTGAATGATGTGGCAACGTCGCCAATTTCAGAACTGTTTGTCAAGATTACCAATGTTTTCAGTCCATCTAATTACCCCCCTTGCACTAACCTTGTACCCGCAGTCGTAAAGTCATATGCTTGTTAATCAATGGCCTTGAGATATCGTAAACATGGAATTAGTTCACTAAGTTTTGTGTGTTGACACCAGAATGTGACGTAGACTACTTGGATGTAGTTAAGCACCGGTGACGACCAGAAGAAAGAAATCAACACAGACGAAATCAGTGTTTTCTACTTGTATGTTGACATGAAGAAATACACTGATGTCGCCTGTGTTGATTTTTTTTCTTCTGGTCGTCAGCGGCTAAACTTCTACTTGTGAACTTACCCTGAGCATGCTTTTGACTTTCCTATCTACTTGTGAACTTACCCTGAGCATGCTTTTGACTTTCCTATCTGCTTGTGAACTTACCCTGAGCAGGCTTTTGACTTTCCTAACTACTTGTGAACTTACCCTGAGCAGGCTTTTGAATTTCCTAACTACTCCATTCCCCTTTCTCTTTCTTTCTCTGTCTCACCTCTACCCTTTTTATCAAAACACATTCCAAAACATTCAATTTCAAAACTACTATTTTATCTCTATCTTTCTCCCCCTTTCTCTCCCTCTGTCTGTCTCTCTCTCTCTCTCTCTCTCTCTCCCTCTGTCTCTCTCTCTCTCTCTCTCTCCCTCTGAGAGAGAGAGAGAGAGAGAGAGAGAGAGAGAGAGAGAGAGAGAGAGTCTCTCTCTCTCTCTCTCTCTCTCTCTCTCTCTCTCTCTCTCTCTCTCTCTCTCTCTCTCTCTGTCTGTCTTCCAACCACATTCTCTAAACCATTTTCGTAACGTCTCATTTCTCAACCGCCCAACTCACCACTCCCTTTCTCATCACCAACTTTCTATGAAAACATACCATAACATCCACTTTCTTAACTACCGTTACTCCCAATACAGGTGTTCAATGTTATAACCATTCAGCCCGCCCTTCCTATTTCTATATCAATGACTGAAACCGCCCCTAATAAAATATAAAAATACATAATGTTAGAAAATACAATTTTTTTTTTCAAAATTAATTCACACAGGATGACTCACGCATTACATATAAAAGTTCAAATTATGAATGTATTTTTCCTATTAGTTTAATAGGGAGTGACAGAAAAAAATATATGTCAACACAATTATTAGTATTACGAATTAAATCAATACATCTGAATGTTAAAATAAAGTTAATTTGAAACATACAATTGGTTAATGTTCATAATTGTTAATTTTTTAATTAAAATAATTCTCATCATAAATACAGTGGAACCTCTCATAACGAGCATAATTCGTTCCAGAATATTACTGGTTAAGTGAAACACTCGTTAAACGAATCAATTTTCCCATACAAATCAATGTAATATATGATAATGCGTTCCATGCTGAAAAAATACTCAGTTTTCAAAAAAATGTATTAACATTTATTTAGATTTGAAACAAAAAAGTGAATAAAAATATGGATTTATAACAAATAATTAATCCTTTTTAACTAGAAAACTGTCTAAAGACATTTGTTTTTGAAGACGCGTCAAAATTTGACGAAAATATGTCACAGCATTATCATTGAATACATTTGTAGCAGGAATAGCCACCTCCTTATTAGGCTGATGCTTCTCAATGTACGATGCAACAGTTTCCCATGCTTTCAGCATTTCTCTTATGGCGCTAGATGTTGACCGATTGTATGTGCGCGCAAGATTATCCGAGCTCACACCTTGTTCTCGCTTTTCAGTGTGTCTACGTTATTCCAACAGTTATTTTTTCTCTCTTATGATTGTCTTCTTGTGGTTTTTTCTTCGAAGACATTTTCGCACAGGTTATCACACTTTGCAGATAAAAAATTATGAATACTGTCTGAATACAAAATTTGTAAAAACACACACGAAAACAATACGCTAACAGACCGAGTGCTAAACAAAGACTAACGCATCGGAGTCCCAGCTCAAAAATGAATGTTGGGAAAGAGGGACTTCCCCTTTCTGCGTAACTCGTTATGCTAAATGTCGCTCGTTAAGGGAGCAACTTCTTCACATATTTTTTTTTGCTGGTAATGCGAATTACTCGTTATGAGAGGTTCCACTGTATTAATAAATTAACACCTGAACATTCACATTTATCAATCTTATTACTGATATTCTTAATTTTTATTAATTAATCCTTTTGTTCATCTAATAAAAAACCTTTTTTTTTTGTCATTTAGTTTCAGATTATTCACATTCGTAATTATTATGTTTTTATTTTAAATCTCAACTAATAATTTTGTTACATCTCAGAATTTAAAAAAAAATATCTTAACATTTGTATTTCTTGATCAAATTCTTTGTTAATAAATCCCTGGTGCTAATCATATTCTGAAAATCATTTCTATTCGTAAATCTGAGAAAAAATATTTTTATTTTTATTATTGGCAATCATTTATTTCATTATCGAGACTATTTTATAAAAGATTAGGACTTTTTAGAATTTATGTTTGCTATTATAAATTTTCAAAATTAATACTTGTTCATACATTTCTCAAATATCAAATTTGTAAATCAAATTCTTAACATTCGTATATTTTATATTTATTCTAGAAAAAAGGTTTCATTTTTATTGTATTTTGAATTTGAGTTAATTAAATACCATGCTCTATAATTTAAAATTTAATGTTATTTATAAAATCTTGTTATCTAGTTAAATCGGTTTGAATTTTATCAATCCAATTATATGCATTAATAACAAAATAATTATTTAGGAAATCTTATTTTTTTTAGTTCTTGTGCGTTGACTTATTCCAATCTTTATTGTCACTTATCTCTATATTTTTAAATCTGTGTTTTTAATGTCAAAATTATCGGCTTGTTTAAAAAGAAAAGAAACTTTAAATTTTAACTTTTTCAATTTTATGTTTCTAAACTATAAACATAACTTTACTGTTAATACATCTCAATGCTGTTCACAGATTTTGTTTATGTCCCTAATGTTTTTTACAACGAAAAAATGATTCATTTTGCTTTTTTTACGTAACATTTATGTTAGAAATTCTATCACATCGAAAGGTAAATAATTTATATTTACTGAAACTCTAGTTATCACAAATAAGTATGTTACCATAAAGTGCACGTCAAGGATAATGTGCACTTTTTATGACGTCCAGCCGCTGCCAGGATGGTTAATAGAACATTGCTTCCATGTTGTACCTAATGATTTGCTTCAAATTTGTTTCGAATTGCTTTTGGACTTTATGTCAAGTTGAATGACCAAATATCATTTACTAGATAATAAGTACCGGCGTGTCACACATTTGCGTTCTCTCCCCTGTCCTCTATGCACTATATACCAATGACATCCAGAGCCCGAGCAACACCTTTCCAATCATTAAGTTCACCGTTGATATCAACAACGTTAGATTAACATCTCAATTGAAAAGCGTGTACCATAATTTAGTTGCAAGCTTTATCAGTTGGTGCTATGAAAATTTCCATCAGGTGAACATTTAAAAAAACGAAAGATATGGTTGTTTATTTCCGGTTTGGGAGTCAATAAATCGCAGATCTTATAATAAAAAATCAAAGTATAGAACTAGTAGAGACATGTACGGAACTAGGTTTCACCATTTATAATTATCCGAGGTGGCATGATAAATTTAATCGGTGTATAAAAATTCAAACCAAAGACGCTTCTATCTTAATTTATTTTACAAGTTCTGCTTAAACAAACAAGTTATTAACTTATTCTAAAGTACATTAATTGGAAGCCAATTGAACTTCAGTATTACAAGCTGGGGTGGGAATTTATCGTCTGACATCAAACACCGATCAGACATCAGACACACTTAATAAAACTATTAATATCACACAAAATAAACTAGAGACCGA